GGTGTACCTAGTCCTGTTCTGCACCATAAACAAGAAAGAAAATACCTGTCTGCAGTTGAAAAGCAGTAGCAGAACCACAGGCAGAGTTACAGTTAACTGAATATATTGCTTAGGCTCCAAATTAATCTTTTCTTCTGCTATTTTTAATGCATGTCCAGAATCCTGCCTGTCAATATTTCTGTTCCCGTTGTACACTCACCTAGGGCTGAGACCAAGACCTTGGTTCTCTGATGTTTCAGATTAGGTCATAGGGCATCCTTCTCAGCCAGGATATGGTTGAGCAGCCACTTTCTTAGGAACTGTTGGTGTTCTTTGCTACACCCCAGCCAAATCCATTTTCTGATTCAATAAATACTTCCCTGTGTTCTGATGCAGAGTCAAACAGGGTGGCTTCTAACATTGTGGAGTGGAAGAAAAATTATTCCAGTCAGGAATTCAGTTACTGGCACTGTATTCAGTTAGAGATGGTGCTGTTAGTTGCTGCTTTCTAATTGAATTGTGTGCCTGGATATTTGACTTAAACCAGAAATAAAGTTAAATTCTCATCTTCTTGGCCATCTATCCAGATTGGCAAGTGACAATTAGATATTATAAACTCTCAGTTGTTGCTGACGTTTCTTTGAATTGAAAATCAATAGCTTACTGTGACAGTGCTTCCTCCAAAATCTGGTGATTCAGTCTTAGCTACAAGTTCAGGCTCAGATCTAAGTAATGCTGTAAACCTGGCTACAATGATCTGTGCGCTGGTGGCAGAGAGCTATCATAAGGTTATTAGAACAGAGTAATAAAAACCAGTATTGATTGATTAGACTAATTCATACTTCTTCTGCTTACTAATTTAGATTGCATAAAAATTGGTAGGAATTCATTCTAAAACCTCTTTCTAGATAAGTTTTCAAAAACTAATATGGTCCATTAGTTTATCTTTCCTTAAGAGGGTTCAGCCTGCTATACTAGTGTGGCTGTGGTCTGTGACAATACTCCTAGGACTGTGGGGCTGGGTAAGGCTTTTCTTTCCAAATCTGACTAGTGCTTTGCAGAAACTCTTTGTTGCTTAGATTCTTAAATTGGCATGAAGTGCTTACCCAAAACAAGCTCTATTAATTGTGCTTATTCACATGCTGGTGGCAGAATACTCTGCTTTAGGACTAATTTAAAGGGGGTATCCCAACAATCTTACCTCTCTAAATCTAAGCTTAGAAATAATGTATGATGGCTATGATCTAAGGTAAATTTTTATACTAGCTTTTCTTTATAAATATATTTTCTGAAAACTTAATTTTCAATAACTGAAAGGGTTTATAATGATTCTTTCTCAGTGTGTAGTTAGAGGCTTTTTTCCTTTCCTGGACCCTTATGCAGTAGAGACTTAAGAGTCAGTAGTAAACTAAACCATTCTCATTCTAGCATGCTCTAGCTTTCTATACAGTTTCTGGTCCTACTAATAACAAGAGCTGGGTCATACTGTGGAACATGATTTGTTCAGACTTCATCTTCTCATTCAGAAGGGTGTTTTGAAGTAGCCTTCCCTTAGAAAGCAGTGGCACACCTCACGGAAAATGACTGGTTGTAACGTAGGTATGGAAAAGCAGATTCAGCTAATGTGGAGCTGAGTGTGACTAGAAGTTCTGGAGCAGGATCAGGAGTGCTGGAATTAATTTCTGATGATGAACTGGGCTGTGGTTTCCTCAAGTGGAAGGCTGTCTTCCTGCCCATGTTGAAGGAGCTTATGCTTTAGCTATTCAGCATCAGTCCACAATGATGAGAATGGACATTCTAGTCCAGAAGCAGACTGTAATACCATCTTTAAGCTGGCTGTCAGCTAACAGATGCTAACCAGTTTTCTTTTGGCGAGTCATCTATTTGCCGTGTAGCAGTGGATGCTAAATAAAATACATATAAAAATATGTATATATTAAATACACATAAATACATATAAAATACATGTATAGAGCTACATATATAAAAATAGCAAGTACAGAAACCAGAATACTTTCTGATTATTATGTATGCTTTATATTTATTTGGTAGAATAAACATTTTATAGGATGCACATTGGACCATGTTGTGGAATAAGCAAGCAGGGCTTTGACATCTAAAGCAAGGGTTGTGTTGATCTAACCACATCCAGTCTTTGAAAGAGAATAATCCTTATAATACAAATACAGTTTCACAGTCACTGGTGTGCATAAAGTTAATCTGAGTTTAATATAACTGAAAGTTCTGCTTTCTGTGTTTTATTAAGCTCTCTCACAACAATGAACTGAACAGTAAAGAAGAAGGTATCTACATAAAGCCAGGGACAATTAATAGATGTTTACAGACTTTTATCACCACAATTATACATATAAGTCAAATACATTGAAATGTATGAATGCATAATTATGATAATGGAATTTATAAAGCAAGTTACACTGTGAAGCAAAATAATGAATTCAGTGCACAACAGAGAAATACAGAACTGCACCCTGTAAATAAATGCAAATGGACCACAAAGGATTAAAATTGAGAGAGTAGGGTAGTGAAGGGAAAAGAGCAAAGCTGAAATTTGGTAAACTTTCATTTCTCTGGTTGGCTCTGCTATTTGCTTCCTTTTTGTCCTTGAGCATCTTTTTTCATCTTTGTTATTTCACAGAGAAACAAAACAAAACAAAAGAACTCACCAGGCCTACCAACAGCCATCCAAATCAATGTCTATATAGTGCTGCAGACATGTAAGGTACTTTTCCTGTTAGGGTCTGTTCTGTGAGTAGGGATTTCAAATACTGTTATTGAACCAGTCTTTAGTTACAGAAGAAAGAATCAGCAACAATTATTGGAAACAATTAAAGATGCTGCTTTTAATTAAAGCATTTAAATATATCTTCTGTTGCCTAGAAACAAGCATTCAAAATTTTAAGTAATCAAGTAAGAAATAGTTGTGTTCAGATTTTTTGCAGTCCACTGGTAGAAATTCAAATAAGAGTGGACACATTTTGAAAATCATTACCAGTCATAATAAATTATCACAGAATATTAAGTATGTAAGGGTGAGATGGCTAACAGAGTAAAGGTTTAAATTAGAGCTGTGAAAATTAGACCAGAGATGAGACATTTGTGATATTGCTTGTCTTTTTAGTAAAAAATCCTCTTAAGCTGAGAGAAGGAACCAGGAAATTTTTCCAGATTAAGGTATCAAACAGGACTGCAAATTATACACACAGCCACAGAAATAGATCTTGAAGTGGATTTCATGTGCTAATAGACATATTCACTTAGAGAATTTAAACTGAAAGCTAGTGCTAAGTAATCATCACTCAATTTAAACAATCCAAAGATGTGGATTCTTCTTTGGAATTACGTTGTATGCATTCTTTAAAGAGTTTGCTGTCTTCTATGCTTATCATTAACATATCAAGGATCTCTAATATACAGTCATGGTATTAGCAAGAGGAATTAACTTCTTATTGAACTTCTTTGGATATTTTCTGGACATATTGCCAGCTCAGAGTTTATACTGATAGGTTTTTGCGTATGGATTGGCATTCAGTTTTATTTCTCATGACAGCTTTTTTCTGCATTAGTGCAGACAAGGCTAGTGTCAACAGTCAACCTGACATGTGTATTCTACAGTAAGTAATAGTCACTCAGCAGAAGAAAACATGTATTATCATTACAAAGTACCATAGAAGAGAATCTGAAGAAACTTTTCCCAGGAAGCCAGTGTGATCTTATGAAAGGACAGCTGTAATGAGAAAGTGATGGAGCATGATATGAAAGCTGAGGACAACGAGTCATCTTGATTATCTGGCTGTCATCTGAGAGCCCTGAAGAAACAAACAAGGCAAGTGTCAGAGATTATTTAGGGTGCAGAGTGACATCCACACTACCTCTGAAGACCACAGCAAAAGTTGCCTTGATTTTAAAGGAGAAAAGCATAGAATCCAGAATGCCTGGACTTAAAAAATGCTATTATTATGATACTGAACTTTGAAAACTGGCCTTTATCAGAAATGTTCCTGTGTCTTTTGAAGATTAAATATTTTGAGTGATCTTTCTCTTGTGAACTGCATAGTTTTTCTTTTTAGCTTTTTATTACATTTTTATAATGAAATTTTTTATTTCCATGCACTTATGAAGCCAGCATTTTCAGCATTACCCTCTTCTCATCCTGTTGGTTGTCCTCAATTTTTTTTTTTTTAAATCTGCTGTAGCTTAAGGCGTTTAGCTTTGGCAACAGAGTCAGACAAGAACCACAAAATCAGCCACAATTTTGTGCATTATTTTTATGCGACTATCTGATCTGCTTAGAAAACAAATATCAGAGTACCTGTCTTCTCTCCAGAATCATTGCCATTTTTCTTTTGCAGCATTAAATAAAAAGTTGAAGTTTGGGTTCACTCACTCATTAGTTTTCAGCATTATTTTTACCTGCATACTTTCATCTATTATTTCTTTCATGTGGCTACTAAGAAATATATGTGGATGGTGATTATTTTGCAAGCCTTATATCCACCTTCTAAAATGGGTTGATGAGACATTTATGAAATTTGGCAGTAGAGGTTTGTATGCACATCCTCTTGTTTGAATCTGCTGAATATGTGCAGGTCCCTATTAAAATAGTTGTCTCTACATGCTACACAACTTAATGAAACCTATGCTTTAAAAAAAACTTTTCTGTGGAAAATGTTTTTCTTGGACTCACAGGTTCTACAAGTAAATATGTCTGAGTGAATAAATAACGGGGTGAAATAAATTAGTTTGTCTAGTTTCTAATTTTGTATTCCTAACGATGAGTCCCTCAGAGGCTAAAAGACCCATCAGAACAGTTACAGAGAACTTTCCTTGCTGCTGTGCCTACTCTACTCTCTGCATACCTCCAGGATTATGCTATCCTCACTGTTCCCTGGTGCTAAATACAGAAAATTTGAAGTATTGGACTAGTAATTATTTCTTTTTTTTTTTTCCCCTCACTTCACAGCATTGCATTAACAGAAACTTTCTGTCTTATTCTTAGTTGTCAACACAGATAATGGTCCCAGAGCCCTTACACTGGAGGATTATTTGGGTGGAACCTTCCAATATAAAACATTTTTTCCATATTGGGTTTCAGGTAATTAAAACCTTTTCTGAAACATACATAAGGCTTTCTAATATTTCCAGACTGGTTTACATAGACTGAGAAATGTATTTTTCTTCCAGCATTACTGTGAATGAATGCTAACTATGAAATTAAACAATCTACTAATCAAAACTTATGGTTGAAATTTACTCTTCTGTCAGTCATTCTAGAAATTCCAGGTATTTGGTGTTTCAACAGACATGTTTAAGTCAAGTATAAGCAGAGGCCTTTTATTTCTTTTACTGTCATATTCATTGCAGCAAGGGAAATAAATATGTCAATGTGTCAGTTATTTCTTAAGCAATCTCCTTTTTTGTGTTTGTCACAGAACTTTTTCACTTAGCATTTGTAATAATTGAAGTAGCCTGGTGCAATCTTACAGGTGCCGTTCTTTGTTTTAGGTAGTACCTAGCTCGCAATGAGCCCAACTGTTCTCATCTCATCTGATCTCATTTATAGAAATGATGACATTGCTGAAATTCCTGAGTTCCCATGCAATGCATAGAAATTAAGGTTGAGTTTCTAAGCAAGTTCCTTATGGTAGAAGATAAAGACATTAAGTTAATTGCTGCTGCTATGTGTGTGTCTGTGTGTGGCTGAAATACTAGTCATGTTGTCATTGAATTACAGCAGTATCAAAGGCTTGAGCTAGGTTGGATTACGTTCTAGTACACACACTACTACCACTACTATCTGTGCACTGCTTCAAGCAATTATTGTTCTCTGACTAGAGACAAGAAACATAGTACCATTCACATGGAGTCCTACCAGGTTAGTTTTAACCCACAGTTTTAGAGCTGAACTGAAGCCTTTCAGGACATTGCTAGCAGCAGTTCAAGTTTTACAATTAACAGTTTGAAATATGTTGACATCACTTGTATGATTTAAAAATTAGGCCACCATTTGTTAGAATTCTGTCTGAGGTATAGAGGCAGCATGCCACCTAAACCTAATATTCTCTTTCCGTCCTTATATCCTTCTCACTTAGACTTACCTTTCCTCTTAACAGTCACAAAACTCACACAGAAATCATGACATAGATTCCAGATAGTCGTGCCTACAACATTCCATATGCCTACTCTTCTTCTGAAGCAAGGAGTTAAAATTTAGTATATCTTCCTAAGGCAGCCTGAGGTCACCACAAACGCTGTTACACAAATCACAGCAGTGTGCTCAAAAGATCCAAGGGTGATCTAATTTTATAAAAATTAACACCTTATACAATGTTTCAGGCTACTTTTAAACTGTTAAAGTCTCTCTCTCTTTAGACACACCAAGTATCTAATACCTTCTCTCTATATATGGCAGCAAAAATAATGATGTGAAACTAAAATTCTGATCTTCATTTTCTACCAAACTATGACTCAGGTCTTGAGCACAGGTAGGGTTAAATTCCATTCTCATTGAAGGCCACTCACCCTTGCATTGTAGGACCTGTGTGAGTAAGGGCAGTATCATTTATGCAGTGTCAGTTACATGATACTGCTGTTATCTGCAGAATCTGTACAAATGAGAATGTTCTGGTGAAATTATAAGCAAAGGATCTTGAATGTTTTCTTTAAAACATTTACATTGTGATACTGCCCTTCTAATGGGTCTGTCCCTGGTATTCTTGACCAGACATTACTGAGAAGAAAATCTGGCATTTAATTATAAAGTTAACTAGCTGATTCTGTGCACAGTATGTAATCTTGAGAACATACTCAAGAACCCTGAAGACTGTTTGTTCATAACTCTGTACCTTGACATCATTAGAAGAAAAACATTTTTCATGTAGATGCCAAAAGATATTTGCTCAAAATCTGTTCACTGACAGGAGCATGAGTACTTTGATAAATGGATCTGTTCTGTAGTATCTTCTGTGCAAGGTAACAGCCCTTTTATCTTGTTTATAAAGATAATGAATATCTTCATCAGTCTGCAGAAGATGATATTATTCTTTACAATGTTGAAATGAACTACCCAACTACCATCATGACTAACAGCACAATGGTACGTACCTTTTCAGTTAATAAAAAGGCAGCAAAATGCAGTTGCATTTGAAGTACCAGTTTAAAAGTGAGTAGATTAAACCTGATTCATCAAATCCTTATTTAAAGTTTTTTTTACTAGAATCTAATCTACTTCTTAATTTTTCAGAAACAAGTTAATGCTTCAAATTATGTGTTGTCATCAGACAAGTATTTCATGGCTCTGGAAAGCAATTACTCAAAGGTAATTATTTTAATATTTCGCTAATGAAATGTTTGGTTTCATTTAGTGTTTTGTTGATTGTGTTTGCCATGAATAAATGTTTCTTGGTATGTTCTTGAGAAAGGGGTGGGCTGTGAAAAGGCAGCTGATTATTTTTAATTAGATTATTGTTTTCCAAGTTAATAACATTTGCTTGCTTAATTTTTGCAGCTGTGGAGATACTCTTATACAGCATCATACCACATTTATGATCTCATATATGGGTAAGGCCAGAGAGCTATGGTGAATACTCTGTAGTGATGTGCTTGCACGCATTTCCACCAAAAAACTCTATAGTAATGTGACTACCACTCTGCTTTGCTTTTGCCTGAATCTGTCAGGTTACTTGTTTGCTTGAAAAAAAATGGCCTCTAACAAAATCACGCAGTCCTTTAATCTTCTCATCCAGGTATATGGGTTGTTTTATATTTCATACCCTAAAACTTTAACTGCTCAAGATTTTCAGTTTTTTTCTTCTTTGCATAATTTTCTCCCACCCTGTCTTGTCTCCTTGAGTTCACTTCAGTCTCACACCTGATGTCTTCATGCTCTTCTGTTGTCTAATTCATCCTTTTTATGGTTGATCTAATCTTTAGCTTTCCTGAAACTCTCACATGTCCTTTAGTGCTCCAGTGATCTTGTAACAGTCCATTTTGGACTTCTCCCATGGCATTTGGTCTCTTTCCCAAGATCTTCCCAAACCACTCCTTTTTCTATCCAAGTCTGAAGAAGGCCATCAGCCTGCTCAGTACCTTTTAATGCCATAAGTAGCAGCATGACCAAATGCTTCTTAGTTCTGAGCAACAGGGCTGCACTGAGCTGCTCCATTCTTGGGAAACTGTTGGCTCAAGGTGACAGGAAGAGGTTGCTGCAAGCTAATGTGAGTAGAGAGGTACTGCATGTGGGTCATGATCCTTAACTGCTGCAGTTGTAACTGCTACTGTTTGGTTGCCTCAGCATGCTATATGCTGAGTTCGCATTTCCCAATAACTTGCTGAGACTATAATGCAGACTGCATATAGAGCAAATGACAGTAGATGCTGGTGCAATGTTCAGAATTACATAAGGCTGACTTCTTAGGCTGCTGAATATGTTTTCAAAGGGTTGCATTGCAAGACTTCAGCAGCACTGGTGCACATCATCACATAACTGCATGTCTCACTGTCTGTCTTAATTTTGCATTGCTCATGAAAGAATAAGATGCTAGAAAATATAGCCCTTCATAAATTTGATACGAATGTACAGTATAATGATCCATTTGCACTGTGTGCAAAAAGCCATCTCAACTTCTTTCCTTTTTTTTAGCGGCTTTGTAACAGAAAATCAGCTTCCACATAAAATTCAGTATATTTCCTGGTCACCCATTGGACACAAATTGGTCAGTAAAGATAATGCACTAGAATGTTTTTGTTTTGTGTAGCTAGAAAACATTTCTTTACCTTTGGTTTTTATTTTGTTAGGCTATATTTTTGACAGGTCTGTGTGTATTAAACTTGGTTATGAGTAAGAATGACAAAGCAAACAGTTTAACTTGTTAAAATTTAATTTGTCTATGTCTCAATAGAATAATCCATGTTCTTAGCTACATTATGTGTTTCACTTCACTAGCCAGTCTCTTATCAAGGACTGACCAACATAATTGTATATAGGATTAAATGTCGTTTCAAGGCCTGAAAACCAATGTGTTATCCTTTAACACTATATAACACGAGTTTACTATGGAGATTTAGAGATGCAGCATTTAAAATCTTTTCTAAAATTTTTACTCTAGGAAATGGCTGACAGATTCTTATTACAAAAAATGTTACTTTCTTTTTTCTTAATAGCTACTTGATAGCCAAGTATGTATTTCTCAGTAATTATAATATACTTATGCATATAGTAACAAGTTTATAAACTCTTTTTTTTCTTGGTTCCAAAGCATCAGCCCAAAAATAATTAGTGTTTTGTAACTACTTAGAATCATAGAATCAGAATGGGATAGGTTGGAAGGGACCTTAAGGACCGTCTAGTTCCAATCCCCCTGCCATCAGCAGGGACGCCATCCACTACACCAGGTTGCTCAAAGCCTCATCCAGCCTGGCCTTAAACACTTCCAGGAAGGGGACATCCCCAGCTTCCTTGAGCAACCTGTTCCAATGTCTCACCACCCTCACAGTGAAGAATTTCTTCCTAATATCTAATCTAAATCTACTCTCGTCCAATTTATAACCATTGTCCCTTGTTCTGTCACTACCTGCCCTTGTAAAAAGTCCCTCCCAGCCTTCCTCTAGGTCATAGAATCATAGAATCATAGAATGGTTTGGGTTGGAAGGGACCTTAAAGACCATCTAGTACCAACCCCCCTGCCATCAGCAGGGACACCTTCCACTAGACCAGGTTGCTCAAAACCTCATCCAGCCTGGCCTTCAACACTTCCAGGGAGGGAGCATCCACAACTTCCTTGGGCAACCTGTGCCAGTGTCTCACCACCCTCACAGTGAAGAACTTCTTCCTAAGGTCCCCTTCAGGTACTGGATGGCTGCTATAAGGTCTTCCCTAAGCCTTCTCTTTTCCAGGCTGAACAGCCCCAACTCTCAGCTCCAGTCCTTTGAACATCCTGGTGGCCATCCTCTGGACACGCTCCAGTAGGTCTATATCCTTCTTATATTGGGGGCCCCAGAACTGGACGCAGTACTCCAGGTGGGGTCTCATGAGAGCAGAGTAGAGGGGAGAATCACCTCCCTCGACCTTCTGGCCATGCTTCTCTTGATGCAGCCCAGGATATGGTTGGCCTTCTGGACTTATCCAATATTGATAAAATACTTGTGCAAGAAAAAATTTTTAAACATCATACTAATTTTAGAAAATGCCTAGAGAGTGGGCTAAGTGTGAATGGACATTTTCTTCCCATTCTGTATCCATTATATCTTCTTGTTGGTATAATGTAAGAGCATTGACCACAGAAAATCTTACTCTAACCCCTGTTACTGGTGCCTATACTCATAAGAAATATTTTCTTCTCTTTAGGTATATGTATATCAGAATAATATCTATTTGAAACGAAGTCCAAGAGAGGCAGCAATTAAACTAACTAGTGATGGAAAACAGAATGAAATATTTAATGGGATTCCTGATTGGGTCTATGAAGGTAAGTAAATCTTGAAGGGCAACAATTAACATGTTAAATGCTTTGTTTAGATTACCGAGTTCTCACAATCCATTCTAAAATATCTGTGATGATACATTATTTTTAGAGCCCTAAGGATCACTTCATTTCCATATTTTATTTACCGTACAATGACTGCATTTTATATTCATTGTATGTAACCAAAATCCAGAGACTTTTGTTACTGAAACTGTATCAGAACTTTACAAACTGGGCTTCCTTCTGCTACACAGGCAGTGGTTGAGAATTAAGCTTTAATGGGAGTTTTAATTTTGATTAATATTTGGCACTTCAATGCATAAAAAAAATCTGAAAAAAATAAACACATGCATACATGAAAAACCCAACTGAGTTAAATGGAATCTGTGTGCCTGTTTTGAGAGTTCTTAAGTCCTTTTGGAATTGAGATGTATTGCAAGATGTTTGGTGTTATTTATTTAGTATGACTCTCTTTACATGTCTAGGTTGCTAAGAGTAGAATGCTGAAATAGATAAAAAGGTAGATAGGTTACAATTATGTTTTGGTTTTTTTCTTCAGAGGAAATGCTAGCAACAAAATATGCACTGTGGTGGTCTCCAAGTGGAAAATATTTAGCATACGTACAATTTAATGATTCCGACATACCAGTTATTGAGTATTCATATTTTGGTGAGGACCAGTATCCTAGAAAAATAATTATCCCATACCCAAAGGTATGTTTTCTCATTCTTTTGACTTACGTTCTGTTGAGAAATGAGTTATAGCAATGATAAAATTAACTGTGCTTAAAAAATGGTTGTATTACAGTGGTTAAATCCATTGTGGCCTAAATTAATGAAAGAAAACAAACTTAGGCCAAGTTCTGAAAAGGTATAGGTACATTCAAAAGTGTAGACATTTAATAATATCAGTGAAATAAATTGAATTACTGATGTAAGTAAAAAGCATGTGCAAAAGTACATGCTTGCATGATCAAGCCTTGCTTTTTTCAGTGCAGTTTACTTGTTGATATGTTAACTATGCAGTTGTTATTTTTCATTACAGTAAATGAATTATGAGACAATTTTTATTTTGAAAAATAAAGGCTATGACAGCTTCAGCTTATTTGCACACTTCCTGGTGCTTTTTGGTCTCAAGAGGCTTTGGATTTTAACTGCTTTCAAGTGCCAGATCTAAGTCAAAAAGGTTTTGAGTTGGCATTTCTTCAGCATTTATTAGAGAGCTCTCCTGGCTTTTGTCATGTTCATATGATTGCAAGTGATCATGTTAATGTATCTTAAGAAGTTACTCACCTTTCAGCTGGATCACCATACTAAAGTAAAGCTGGATGGTTTAGACTACACATTGAGGAGAATTAAAAAATTAATAATGTATTCAATGCATAAGGAAGCATGAAATCAGTTTAAGCTAAATCATTTTATTTCACAGCTGGGATGTCAAAGAGCACTTGCAATCATGCGAACATACTTCTGGAGTTTTATGCCAAAGTAAGTACAGTGTGTGCTGCAAAGATCCATACTGCAAAGAGAACACTGGTTCCCACCAAGCACATTTTCCATATAGAAAGGCACTAAATTTGACTGTTTAAAAGGCTCTTCTTTATATATGAAATTATGCAAATTTAAGTAATGTAGTACTGCTGTAGTGTCACCCTGAAATCTTATAAGACCACATTTACCCTATTATACTCAACTTACTACATCTGAATACATCTTTTGTAAACTATCTCCTTTCCTGCAAAAAATGATGTAATTTTCCTTGATCTGAATTGTTCGGAGCCTGATTTGAATAACCTCTGATACATTTTCTTTGAAGGCTGGGGCTAAAAATCCTACTGTCAAAGTGTTTATTGTAGACACTATTAACACTGAAGTGTTTGGTCCTAAGGAAGTGCCAGTTCCTGCAGTCATAGCATCCAGGTAGTGTGCCTTCAATGTCTTCTCCTTTTTTGAAAAAGTTTTTGTCTATTTGTTTTAAGTGCTTGAACCTCTGAGTTGTTTTCGGTTTCTAACAGTGGAGTGCCATATTTATCTCCTAGACAGACTGGAAGCTAACTAGAAATGTTGTATTTTGCTTCTGTCTGCCCATATGATACATTGTTAAAAAGGACAAAAAAAAAATCCATAAGATGATTGAACCATTGCTATTGTCTTCCACAGAGGAAAATGGGGGATACAGTCTGTAGTAGTGCTTCTATATACCTGTTCTTTCTTTAATACCATTTATTTCTTTTTTTCTTTTGTTTTTTAGTGATCACTATTTTACTTGGCTTACTTGGGTAACAGATAGTCGAATCTGTGTGCAATGGCTAAAGAGAATCCAGAATTTTTCAGTCTTAGCTATTTGTGACTTCAAAGAAAATTCAAATACTTGGGACTGTCCAGAGGTAACATAGTTGGAAATATAAATTTAACATCACTGAAATTAGCATTTGCTAATCCCACCTGCATATCTATCTTAACACCTACTGGTCATGCACAGGTTGCTCTGACTTACTTGCAGAAGTATATTTAATCTTGCCATGAATTCTTTTAGAAAATAATTGTGTGCCTGACATATTTTCCAGTGTTTGACCACATGAATCTTTTAGCTACTAGTGATACCTTTTTCAATATTTTAATTACTGGGGGAGGGCTGAAAAAATTTGAATTACACAAACAAGAAATAAAATCACCAAATTTTTTTTTAGTGAGGCTTAAATAACAATCAAAGCAACAAAAATGAGAAGAATACTATTGAGCAGCTTTCAGTACTGTTGTTGAGTTCCTTCTTGCTTCCTCATCTTCAAAAGTGGAATCCTTTAGGATCTTTATTGGGTTTTTAAGAAAATCTTATTATACTATGTTGAAATTTCATACATCATAAGTCATGTTCTTTATGATTAATGATAAATTAGTTGAAAGAACATATCAATTAAAAGTAAGGCAGGTTTTCAGGAGGGAGAAATTCTTCTGTTTTGTCAAATCATACAATTGGAGAAAGCAGGCAAGTTTTCAGAAACACAATTCCTTTTTCAGATCTGAAAATAAAACTTCAGGCTAATTGCAACAGTAGCTCCACATTTTGTTCAAATATGTCATTCTATCATAAAGACAGTTTGGAGGGAAAACCATGCTCTGTTGAGCAGGATAGTTTAGGTGGCCTAGCTATCTATATCTCTATGTAGATACTTACAGATCTTACATACAGAAGCCTTTATGAAAAAATATTTCTTTAAAAGAACTTGTAATGCCTGAAGACTGTAGACACTGATAAATTCATATAGATCCTGAAGGAAAGGATAAGCCTGAATTTCAGTTACTCTAGTACCAAAGATTTGTCTTTTCATATTGATGCAGTTTGCATGTCTTCTTTTTAGAGTTTATAGTACAGAACACCTATAAAAACTAGCATTAAGCTGAAACCTTGAACTAGGGGGAAATAAAAGGCAAGAATACTTGTAAAAGTGTTCTTTATAACTGACAAATTGTAAATTCAGAGTTTATTGGCACAGCCTTTCCAAGTTGAAAATAATTTTTATTCCTTCCTCTATGATATGACAATTGTTGCAAATTTAAAAGGAAGTTAAGGTCCTGTTCTTTCAAAAACATTATAATTGAAGTAATTTTCCACAGAGAAATCTCTTAATTTATTAGGAAGAAATACATACTTACTGCAGCATTTTATGTGTTTCATAAGTAATTGTTCAATTTTATAAGTACATTAACACTGAGTCTCTATCTCTCCTCCAAGTAATCTACATTTTAATAACTAAATATTTTAAAGTACAGAAAAAAAAATAAGGCTTCTAGGTTTCTACCCCAATCCACCAAAGTACTTTAACACAATCTTAACTTTAAGCTTGTAAGCAGTTTTATTTATTTCAGTAGGTCTATTTATGTGTTTAAAATTAAGCATGTGCTTAATTGCTTTTTTGGAACCATACCAGAACAATTAACATCTTGCAGGACTGTGTTCATGATCCTTGTTTAATTGCATTTCTCCATGAAGCCTTATTTATGGAGTCACTACTGATGTTTCTATAATTCTATATTTATACAGTGATACAATGCTTTTATCACATAAAAGTTTGCACAAATGGCCAATTGAAGGAGTGTGAACAGATGGGAGTGTTGCATTAGCTCTATTTGCTGTTAGAGAGTGTATCTCTGTATGTTTCCATTGGCAAAAATAGTTCTCTGTTGATTTCAGATTAAATCGAGACTCTAATGTACAATAAATGTGCTAGGCTTTATGTACTTGAAAATAATAGCAAAATATAATCTACAACATGTTTCTAAAGTGTTGATTCATCAAAAATGTTAACGAGTTAAAGTCTTGCTCATGCGAATAGACCATAGAAACCAATATGACTTCAGTGGAACTATTCATGTGAGTAAAAGCTAGGCATGTGTTCATGAAATTGGGATTTCCTATAAGATGACAGTTCTCTAATTAAATTCTCTAAGTACTTTAATACCCAGAAAAAACCCATAGAATTCAATGGGACTATTCATATGAGAGACATTAAATATATCCTAAATGCACTATGTCATCAAGATCTGAGCCTTAATTTAAAGAAAGGAAAATAAATTTAGGATGCAGATATAAAACGATACATACAATTTTTCCTATCCTAAAAGAAGTAAAATCCATCTTCTGAGTTAATAGCTCAGTGCAGCCATTGCAAAGTGCTAAACAGTCTGCTAAGGTGCAAGTGCCTGCAACTTTTGCTCAGATAAGTCACTTTGCAGGAATTAAGTTGAAGGGGAGAAAGCATGATTCTGAGTGCTAATGAGATTACATTGAGGATAACAAAAACAAACCATATATACTTTAGAAAGTAAATTTGTTGAATTTATTTCAGACTGTAAAGACATACTGTATCAAATGAACATTGTAAAGAAGAGTTTGTAAGATAATAAAAATATATATATTGACTGAATGCAGAACTGTTAAATATTAAATCACTTGCTCCCTCCAACGAGCAAAATATTATGCTCTTCAAAGAAAAGTGTTAGGAAAGTATTGAAAATGCACTAGAAATTTTATAAGTAAAACATAAATAAAAATGTAAAAGCACCTTTAGCTGCAGGAGATACTGATCCATTTATGCTGAGTATAAGTCTTTTTTAAAATCAGCTTTAAGAATGTTACAAGCAGCTAAGACCTCCTAAACTTATATTCATAGTTTCAGGATATGATAATCGTGATTTTTGCTGCCTACACTATTTTAGCCAATCCTTAATTCTTCTTTCTAAATATGTTATTTGTGAGATTTTTTTAAAGTGTTGAACATAGGGCCCTTTAATATCTCTAAGCTGAGCACCAAATATGGAGACCCTTGATTTCTATGTATTTTACTTAGCTAAAGTATATGGCTTGTATTTTTAAGGTTTTTAAAGTTTACATTTAAAAGATGTACCTAATAGTCACATTATCCATTTTTATAAATCAACATCACAGCTTTGAAATGAAAGGAAACATGTCAAATTAACCAGCTGAGAATCTAACACAGATTTTTAAGATTATTATTCCTGAAATTATTTTACTTGTTTTTTTACTGAAAAATTCATAAGACTAAGTAGTTGGTAATCCTTGCTTTCAGGGGAAATGTTGCATAAGGTTAAAATATTACTTTAGATTTTATTTAGCTCTGATGACAGGTGTTAAAAAATAATATTTTAACTAACATAATGGTATTAATACAGTAATATTATTTACCTCAGACAACCTTCAAGTCCTTGAACCTTCATAGCAAGTACTCTAAAATTCTCCTTTACAGGTGGCTAAGGATTTTTTATTTGAAGATTTTGAACCTCCATAAACTCATTCTTGAACTTCTTAAAGAGTGTACATTTGATTTTGTTTTTCAGAATCAACAGCACATAGAAGAGAGTCAAACAGGATGGGCAGGCAGAGTAAGTTTTCTTGTTGTACTCTGTTTTGATTTAATGAAATCAAATACAATACAGCTTTCTGAATCCTGACAGCAGGGTTTTGAAACATGAAGCACCATTCTGAGTCATACAACACTACTGCTCAAACCCATGGCACTGCAGTATTGAGACTATTAATGCTGTGTTAGGCATAGTATCTGACTACCTGCTTTCTGAGTTTAAAAACCCTTTTCTATCTCCTATTGCAAATCTTAGACCAACTGATTAGACACTATACTGAAGGGAGGGAAGTCGTGAAAAGAGATAGATTCATACTGCAATGTAATTCTTAGAAGCATCCTGGAGGCAAAGAATAGATGTAAAATTCCTCTGATGTCTCTAGGGCAAGAGATAAGATCGGTCATACCATAGCATTTTAAAAATAAAACCTGTCCATTCAGAACACAGTTTTAGGGCCAAGTGCTGCACATCTTCAGGGTAAGGCACCTCTCTTACAGGGGTAGTTGATACATCTCTGCCGTTACCCCTAAAGCAAAAGAAATTTTCTCTCCCCAGTAACCTTTGTCTTGGAAGAGACGTAACACCTATCTCTGGGAACTCACAGTAAAAAACAAACCTGCAATGAAATTGTCAGAGCATGAGATCAATATTTGCAATCATATATTCTAACAGTAAATATGTATTATTGCTTAGGTTTACACCTCAGGCAGGTGAAGTTACCAGAATTCAATATGGGGAACTGCATACTGTGCCTGAATATCCTGCAGTGGACTTAACTGAGAGTTTTGATTTTCAGTACACTGTCCTTTTTATTTGAAGTGAAGATTACACACTTATGTTACTTGGTCCTTTCCTTTTTTCACCACATCTCTTGAGGTTGTGATGACAAGTTTTTATTAGAACTAAAGAAATTGCACACATGCATAAATCCCTGCTTTAGCCTTTATGGGATTTCAAGCATTAGGAATATTAGAAGCAGGCTCCGCAAAAATTTAGCTTGTGGTCACAGGTTCTAGTCAAGCTTGGGTTAGTATTATTCAGAAGTCATACTCACTGAGGAATGTTTGGTGCTATGTTTGAAGTGCTTGCAAGTCATTCTTCTGGGGTCATATTTTGAAAATAAACACACAGTTACAGTAACTCATCCTTGACTAACAATTTTAGTAAAGAGGTGATGGTTTGAAAGGAAGCAAAAGTTGATGGTCTTATCTGGAATAATCTGTTCTTTAACATTAGTGGAATAATATGGGAAACTTCAGACATCTATTTGCTTAGTGCTGTATTTGCTCAGTGAATCAGCCAAACTCTGTGGCCCACAGGATTTTCAGTCTGGCACCATTCATGAGCATTAGCTTTATTCAGAAACTTATTTTTTAAAAATCAACTCTGCCTATTTTTAAATAATTAAAGAAAAGCCATTCACAATACACAAACAAATTATTCCACTTAGAAGTGGAGAGCTTGCATATGTGTGGTACTTTAGGTATCTATATTATCAGCTTAAGAAATCTGACATGACAGGTTAGAAATTGTAATGTGTACTGAGTAGGAGATTGCATATCACAGGTAAATACCTGTGCAAAGTACTTTGTCCATCTGAACAGATTAAATAGACTTGTTACTTTGGGTACGGGTACTATAATCTGCTATACAGCTTGGAGACTCTTACTTATGTCTCATCTACCATTTTTCTTCCAGTTCTTTGTTTCTACACCATATTTTACATCAGACAGCAGTTCATACTACAAAATTTTTAGTGACAAAAATGGTTATAAGCATATTCATTACATCAATGGCTCTGTGGTAAGTCAAGCAAAGTGTTCTACATTGATCTACTGTGCATTTCTGAAATAATTGTACAATATTCAGTAACTTATATGTCTTGCTTCACAGGAGAATGCAATCCAAATTACAAGTGGAGAATGGGAAGCAATATACATTTTCAGAGTAACAAATGATGCAATGTAAGTATCATGAAGAAGAGAAAAGATTGTGAGTGTTGTCAGTAAAAGCAACACTTAATCATTGGAACACCAGTTGTTAATGCATCAAGTTATAACTAGGTATAATTTGTTTTGTATTTGAATGCAACCACAACAAATTTGTATGCAAAGGTATTGCACAGGTTTGCAAACTTGGTTTACTTATGGGAGATTATTTGCAAATTGCCCTAATTTTTCTACTATTTTCAATCACCCATCTTAGAGAAACTTATTTAGAAATACTTAAATTTAAGTATGTGGTTAACCTTCATACAATTTGCAATTACTGCAATTGTCTCTTTTTATTGTCTCTCATTCAGGTTACTGTATAGATAAATACAGCTTATGTAATTGGAGTGATTAGCTCGTGAGAATTAAGATGAACTATTCATGTGGCTTATTTGTCATCTAATCAGAGTTTTAGCAAAGATCAATTAAGATAAAAGGTATATAAGCTTAATTTACTCTTCCATCACATGCAGAAATCTCAAAAAATCTAAATTAACTTCCAAGACGGCTTTTCATCTTCATGCTGGTTCATAGGTCATCACTTTATGGATTATTTATTAACATGTAAATGAATTTACAGTTTCTATTCAAGCAATGAATTTGAAGGCTATCCAGGAAGAAGGAATATTTACAAGTAAGTGTTATCAACATTATCTTAATCATACTGGGTTGATAGGAGATAGGTCTGGATTTGTCAGCAAAATAATTTAGCTTCAAGATGTTTAAAGTGAAATTTCACAAACTATTTTAACTAAATCTTGACCTCAAATTATATCTGAGAATTAAGGAGAAATAGTATCTAAAGTTTAAATATAGTCTTGTGTCCTGGTTTGGCTAGGATAGAGTTAATTTTCTTCTCAGTAGTTAGAAGAGCTAACTACTCTTGGTTTTGGTTTCAGTTCAGACTTGATTTGAGAACATCATTGATAGAAGTACTAATGTTATTAGTTACTGCTGGAGCTCAAGGCCACCATGTTTGGCTGTTCACAGCCACATTAAGACTGGGAGGGAGAGGCGCATTGAATAGCAAAGCCCAACACTGGCATTTGGATGTGCCAATGAAATATTCCATATCATATCCCGTCATGTTTAGTATATTATCTGGGGGTGACTGGAAAAGGGAGGGGGTGGATTTCGCATGGGTTTTCTCTCAGGCTCTTGCTCTTCCGGGATCACGGTTTCGGTTCGGGATTGTTGCTCCTCCGGGATCATTATCAGGGAATGGGCAGGGCTTATCAGTGGGTGGTAAGCAGTTGAACTAGGTTATCACTCATTTGCATATCTTGTTACTGTTATCATTATCACTACTATTTTAATGTTAGTTGTTTAGTTGGGGGTTTTTTTAAGTTTTCTTTTATTTCTATTATTAAACTGTTTTTATCTCAATCTACAAACCTCCTAATCCTTGCCCCAACCCTATCCCCTGGGGGTGGGGGGAAAATGGGTGAATGGCTGTGTTGGCTGCTAGCCAAGGGCTAGTCCAGTGAAACTATCACGTCTTGGGAAAAAAAAATTGATAAAAGGGAAAACATTTATTTTTAAATTGAACTGTTCTGAAAGTACAATGCCTATGTTCTAGAGTGTGAGGCAGATGTGAAGTTAGTTGTAGCAAAAATAAATATTGCTTTATTTTATTTCTCTCCTAGAATCAGCATTGAAAATAAACCTATTAGAAAACAGTGCATTACTTGCAATTTAAGGAAAGAGAGATGCCAGTATTATACAGCAAGGTTCAGTGAACATTCTAAGTATTATGCCTTGATCTGTTATGGTATGTATAGCATGGGAGCAAACATATAATCAGTTGTTCTTTCAAATTTGTTAGAGATGTAGATAATAGATAATACTGATTATCCCAAATGATAGCTAGATGAATCAAAGAAATTTCACAATCACCAGGAGAGATTTACAGAAACAAACTTCTATGTCCAAAAAACTTGAGAAGATGTTTCAAAAAATAAAAAATATTTTCACTCCATAATTTTTTTTCAGTAAAAATCCTGATATGTTTAGAATTAAAACCAAACTTGTCAAAGTCCTTCATGGCACAAAACAGATTCTAATCTGGCTCGTCAAAGCCATGCCTTTTCCTGCAGCGGCAAGAGCAGGATTTAGAAACATATACTGATTTTCAATTCATGTGGTCAAAGTTAGCTATGAGAAACTACTACAGTATGTTTCGCAACTGAAATTATTAAAACCTATGTTAGCCACAAAATGTTGTATATTTACTACCTGAGAGTATTTTTAATAACTGAACAAAAAAAAAAATTCAATTAATCAAGATGTATGGTCACTGAAACAACTTGTAACAGAGAAGCAGATGAAGTCTTAGCTCTGTTGAAATAAGTTAGGTGATTTCAGTGATCTGAGGTTTCATCCATTGGTGTAATCAAAGAACAGTGAAGTCAAAATCTAGAAACAGGAAAGAAAAATATCCAAGGTTTTCCTTTTTGCATATTGCATATAAAGTTTACTGTTCTGATTCTGCACTGACTGATCAGCTGAAGAGTTCCTTAGAACTTCCGTTGAGCAGAGAAGCAAATGTAGCAAATAATAAGACCTTTCAATCATTCTTGCACAAAATAGTCAGTAAGGTCGTCACCATATGAAAGCCACTCACCTTCACAAATACGATGTGACGTGTTCTCAGAAGAATGTTTCACATTGTTAATTCTGCATTCACCTTATGTAATCACACCTCAGGTATTAACTAGATGTCACCTCACCTCTAGAGAGGAAGTGTTTGCTATTAGATCTAAAGTAACTTCTATTCTCTTTGCTAAGCAATGCCTGTATGTATACAAGTTATGTACACACAGTACCTTATGTATATCGTGCAGCAGGGACTAGTGAGTGACAGCAGAGAAGATTCAGATTTGTGTATCACCTCTGAGCTCCTCAACACCTCCCAGTTACCAATGTTAGTGTAATACACGTCACCACCAAATTCCAGCTTTAAACTATAAACTGCCTTCTTATTCTTATGACAGGTCCCGGGATTCCCATTTCTACGCTTTTTGAGAATGACGGTGATAGAGGTACTGCAAAATATCCTGCCTATTTCTAAGTAACTGTTTTTCTCATTGATCTTCACTATGCAGGTCCTCTAGTACAATATTTAGCGTTGTGATCAAGAAGCCTTTCATCTTGTTTGTTATTAAAATAGCTAGCGTCTTTCTAGATTTGTTAATTAGTAAAATCGAAATATCAGTGAACACACTGATGATATGATTTTCATTCCCAAGTCCAGCACTTTTATAGCATCCTGATGTTTTTTCCTGTTTAGGGACTACAGATGAAATGAACATTGGCAACTCTTTGTCCACCAAATATCAAACTTTGTAGAAAACGTTATTGTGATTTCCAAACTATTCCTTTTCACATTTGGATAAACATAAGACTTTCTGAGTTTTTTCATTAAGCAACCCTACCCTATACAAAAGGCAACAGTGTACTATTTAGAGTTTGCAGTTTGAGCTATTGTACTGTACTAATTAGAATTTGGATCAGTGAGTTGCTCTTCAGCCATCAGCAGAGATGTCAGAGAAGAGCAGAAGCTATTTCAGATGATCAGTTCAAATAACTGCTTCAGACAAGGTGTGATTATTGACACAACATGGGAAATCCAGCAAGAAACATTCAGAGCCCTCAATCTTTAAGTAGCCTGTTAGTGAGGACTGTTTGGAACCAGGCCAAGCATGAATTTGCTAACCATGAAAATATTAATTACTCTTCAGTGAGTTTTTTTCCTCTTTGTCCCTTGTTTTTCCCTGAAACTTCCTCTCTAACTTAAAGCCCTCAGTCCTGAAATGTTACAAAAACTAGCATGGTCCTGTAAAAAACTTCTGTGATGGAGCATTTCCCCTTCCTTCCCCAATAATCAGTGGAAAAGCACTGGTAGTTATAAGGCCAGGGTCCTTACAGTTCAGCCCATATTGCTAACCTGCTATTAAGTGAGTGTTGTCTGACCAGCAGACACATAAAAACATGAGGAAGACAAATGCCGCAATATTGTTAAGCTAAATTAATCAGTGGTGCTTCATGTAGAAGTCAATGAATTGCAGCATAAGATTATTTCATCTCCAATAGGAGTTGTTACATCTCAGTTTTTAACCACTCAAAAATGTTTGCAGATGGAAAAGGTTGGTCAATGTGTCTATTGCAGTTGTGCTATAAAAACAGTACGTTCTTTTGGTATTTCTTTTGCCGAAGGTTTAAATAGGTTTAAAGGTTTAAATACAGTTAATGCATGGATTTTTTTGTACTTAATCCATTTTTATAACTCTCTGTTTTCCATGATTTATTATGAGCTTCTGTATCAAGGACCCCTACTATTTCCTTTTCAAAGTATGAATTGCATGAAATGCTCAACTACAAATACATGTTTCTTAACCTCTCTGCAGCAGAGAACAGTTTCATTTAATGGATCTGCACCAATAGTTTTATGATGCCTCGCTCTTCTGTGCTATATTCTTCAGGAACAAAGACAAATTCAGGCTTCTCTAACTTTTTTGTGACTTTTTTTGGATTAATATTCTTTAATCCCTTGCTTTCATAATCTCTTCTGTGGTGCAAAATTATTTTTAGTAGATCAATTTTCACTGCAGTTGGCACAATATCACCCATAAATTTTAGGAGGCATACAATTAAACTAACATACAGCAGTTTGGAAGCTCATTCCAGCATACCTACAATTCATTTGTGGTAATGGGCAAGTTTCAGGAGTTTTGAGGGGAAGAATGGAAAGGGTTCAGCTAAGTTTGGGTGAGTATCCAAAGCTAGGATGATCTTTTAGCCATAAAAACCCACTTGAATCTGCAAAACTTGTCAGAAGTACTTTGAAAGAACAAATTCCAGTGTTATATTTCTGGCATGTCCTGAGCACTATCTAGCTGAAGACATGCTGAGAGAAGTACTTGTATTTTTTTGAGCCTTTACAGAAACAGGAAGTTGTTGCCTTTAAATTTTTAAAAAAAAAAAAAAAGGTAAACTATCAGTGAAGACTCCTGCAGTCTTAAAACGTTCTTTCATTTTGAAAGTGAAGGTAAAAGTCACATTTCCATTATGTACAATATTATTCATCCATCACTACTCATGGGAAAACACGTAAATGCACAAGTAATACCCAGTGGGTTAATGATATATATTTCTGCAGTCTATGCTGGAAATTAACTAGATTTTAAATAGTAATTTACATTTTTAAATTATATAACTGTAAATTGGATCTAAAGCACGTGAAACAAAAACTTAGAATACTTTTGAGATTAAAAAAAACCACAACAAAAGAGGTTCACTAAGTGTGCAGTAATATATCACTAAGGACAGTTATATGGTAAGTCTAGTGTCTTTGTGTAGGGATGTACTGTACAGTAGTTAAGCAGCAGTTTGCCACAACCCTTTAAGAAACTGAATTTCCTGTGCTAGCCCAGAAATAAGATATTCCCCAACATCCATGTGCTGAACCACACTGCCCAAGGGTCTCAGAGGTTAAACTGATGTTAAGCAAGAGAGGAGGTGCAGGACTGTGTTTTGCATGATGGGATGAATTTTGCATTTCCAGCTTCCACCATATAGCAAAACTGGGATGAGGGCTCTGCAGGAGAAATTAATTTCTTCAGAACATCTGGGACTCTAACACTAAGAGGCAACATATGAAATAATTTGCATTGCAAAATGTACATCCTATAAAAATCTAGCAAATATTTGTGATATTTGTGCACTGTAATCCCAGTGCCTTGCTTTTATTTAGCTCTGTGATCAAGTCCAATACTACGCTTGTAAAATTTCACAGATTTCCTTTCTGTTCTAATAACACAAAATAAAGGAATCTCAATTAATGAAGAGGAATTAACAACAAATTAGTTAATAATTCAGTCGTTTCTTTTACTTAGAGCTCAGAGTATTGGAAGACAACTGGGAATTGCAGTCTGCTTTGCAAGAGATCAAACTGCCAAAAGAAGAAATCAATAAACTTGAAGTGGATGGTATAAGTAAGAATTACTCAGCCTTATTATACTTTGTATTCCTACCATTTTACTGTTTTGCCTTCATTTTGCTATAGTAAGTATGGTCTTTCTGTAGAACGAACTTGTTAGCCTGTCAGATTGGGAAGAAGAGACCTGGTTCTGCCCCCTGGTTCATTTATCTATGCCTTAGGGTATCTTTCAGTAAAATAGCAGTTAAAATGCATCTCTGCTTCACAATGCATTTTTTAAAAATTCTTTAATACTATTGGTAAAGTGTTTAAATAATGTGTAAAAACATGATAGTATGGTGGTAATAAAATGTGAAATGTAAACTGCTGTTCGTGTGTTACACATTATATTGACTTGCATACATTGTTGTTTTCACTAGTGACTTTGCAAACAATATTTCATGGTAATGAATCAGTGCAAAGTTTCCAAAACTCATTTCTCATAATCTTAACAACAGTTACATTCCTAGTTCTGTTTTGCTAGGCACCTGGAAAACTGAGAACTGAGTTATGTGAAATAATAATTTTATGCATGGCTAAATTAAAAGAAAAGTAGGTACTTTATTTCTTCAGAGTTGTTCTTCAACAGCTCAATATAAAGTTACCTGCATCAGTTCTGTGATTCACAGTTCATGCATTGTGTATTTTGTGCTGATTCATTTTCGTATACTATTACACCAAATTCTGGATTATGCTTGTAGGAATCATTTTAACCATTAACAATTTTATATTGTATTTGTATTTATATTTGTATTTACATAATTTATATTTCTATTTAACCATTAACAGATTTATATTTTATAATATGTCTTTTCTAGCCTTGTGGTACAAAATGCTTCTACCCCCACAGTTTGATAGATCCAGGAAGTACCCTCTGCTTATTCAGGTGTATGTAACACTTCCTTTCTTTTAATGTTGTTGTTTTGTCAGAAAACATACTACTTATAATTTAACAAAACCTAGGACATTTGCAACATTTTATTAAGTAAAAGCAAAACTACTTAGTTCTCCTTTGTTTGTTGTAGTGGTTTTTTAAATATATTTCTGGAATAGAACAACCCAATGGAAATCAATAAGGTTTTTAATGTTAATCTGAGCATGGTAAGGACTAGTTCCTCGGAGAAACAAAAAGGATAAAAACATGTGGGCTATTGCTTGGAGTTCTTAGCTCTGTTGCTGCTTCTGTTTATCATGAGGCAGTCTGAAATTACTGATTTCAGGTTTGGTAATACAAAAAATACAAGAGCCTGCTTAAGGGCCACAAAGATGATTAGGGGCCTGGAGCATCTCCCATATGAGGAAAAGCTGAAAGAGCTGGGACTCTTCAGCCTGGAGAAGAGAAGACTGAGAGGGGATCTTATCAATGTCTATAAATACCTGAAGTGCAAGGGCCAAATGGATGGGGCCAGGCTCTTTTCAGTAGTACCCAGTGACAGGACAAGGGGCAATGGGCAAAAACTGGAACACTGAAAGTTCCATGCAAACTTAAGGAAAAACTTCTTTACTGTGAGGGTAACGGGGCACTGGAACAGGCTGCCCAGAGAGTTTGTGGAGTCTCCATCTCTGGAGATGTTCAAAACCCACCTGGACCCTTTCCTGTGCAACCTCTTGTAGGGAACCTGCTTTGGCAGGAGGTTAGATTCCTGAGGTCCCTTCCAACCCCTACGATTTTGTGATTCTGTGATTTTTTAAGGAAAAAAAACAAACACCCCTAAACCATGAGGACTGGCTTGTTTGACCAAATGTTCTTTCTAAAGAGCATTTGACATTAATTTAATTTCTTGCAGGCAAGAAAGGCAACAAAAATTGTAGTTGTGCAAAAAAAAACCCAAGAGGCAGAAAGGAGAGCTGAGTGGGTGTAATAAACCTTACATCATTTTTTATTAACCAGTGGTGATCCAAAGGTCCAAGAATGCTAAGTATGTTTAAATGAAGTTTAGAGAAGATTAAGTCAGTCGTGTCCTTGAGGTCAAATGTGTAATTTGCATTAAGCCGTTCTCATGAGGAGTGTCTTTCTGTATTGCTCAGCCATGTGGGGTGTGTTCTGCCTACAGCTCCAACAGCACATGATATTCCCTATGGAAACAAAAAAGGTCTGGGGATGGCCAGAAAGTGTAAGGAGCTGTACTTTTTTCTCTTGTTTTCTTTGTCATTGCAAATTGCATGTGGATGTCAGATATGGAAGAGCACCAAAAAGGGCTGTTACACCTAATGAATTTGGAGAGAGGAAGGAATTGAGTCTTTGAGGCATAACTCTTCCAAGGATTCCCCTTAGGGCAAGTACCTGATGCTGCACCTCTTAGTTTGAGCTAAAACTATTGATGTGCCTTAGGTATAAGAATTAAAATGGATTTTAGATAGGAAAATCTCACAAATACATTAAAATGGTAGTTGAACTGTTTGTCTACTGAGCTCTGTGAACCACAGCCATATAGCAAATAATTATGGAGAAAATGTAAGAAGTACCTATAGCTGTAGTCCAGTATCCCATAATTATCCATAAATATGAATTGAAAATGTGTGTATTTTCATCCTCAGGTACGGAGGACCTTGCAGTCAAAATGTGAAAGAAACATTTAGCATTAGCTGGATAACCTATCTTGCAAGCAAAGAGGAAATTATTGTTGCTCTAGTGGATGGCAGAGGGACAGCTTATCAAGGTGACAAGATTTTGCATGCTGTATATCGAAGGCTAGGAGTCTATGAAGTTGAGGACCAAATCTCAGCAGTAAAGTAAGTAGAATATCTCCCTGTATAATGGTTGTATTTACATACCTACAAGGAGTAATGTGAAAAAATATTAAATATACTTCTCAACCTTTCTTCTGGAGAGCTGAGGTCTCCAGGAAATAAGACAAGACTTGTAGAAATAAAATATTACTGAGCTGCTTGGTGTCAGTGAGGTTTTGTGTGCTTTATTTAGTCCATACACTACTAAGTCCACTTTTGGACTTCACCACTTCCATTTTATAAGAGTATCATCAGAGGCTTCAACCCTAGGCCTAAGGAAATAGAAGTGTCAGTGGTGAGAGGTAAGCCAATGTATTATTCATTATTCTGAAGTTTTCCTTGTAGGGGAAACCTACCTCAGGGACCATAGCGATTAGCCAAAGATTCATAGTGATTAGTAAAGGTCAAATGTGAAATTTGTAGCAAAACTGAATCCTGACACAAGCCTTGTAGAGGTCAGTTAGTCATAAACTTGCCTTCCATGCTATTTTAGGATAGTTATGAACAACAGAAAGTGTGTGAGGTCCTCTGGTTGTTGTTCCTCAACAGTTGCTCCTTTGCATTGAAACACTTAAAACTGTTCCAAAGGAAAATAATTCCTTAAGCAGAGGTTTTGGGAGGGAGCGTTGAGGTTTTGTAAAGAAAGGCCATTAAGCTTACAGATGCAGTAGCACTACTAAAGTGAGCATTTAAAGAAGTGTTAGTTTGAACCCCACAGAGATGAGTGCAAGGCAGGAAAAAGGAATTTAGTCTAGCCTTTGGTCTGGAAATTGGCCTGTCAGAACATGGGTAGATTTCCAGGTGCAACAGAAAATACCCTCTTTCCCCCAGTAACAGACCTGACTCTGAGCAGCTTAGATAGAAATTCTATGTAGCAGTCCAGGTTTCCACAGTTTTCTCTACTTGTTTGAGAACACTGCCTGTATTTACAAGTGTGTGTGAGGAGGATATCTGTTGCTTCCTCTTTCTGCTTTGCAATAATTCATTTCCTCCTCAATGATATAAACACACCATAATCCTTTTCAGGAGTAAATGAAACAGAATAGCTGTATATCATATCAGGTTTTTCTGTTAATCTTTTATTTGATTTTGTTTCTTGAAACTTTCAGCAGAAATGGCATACTTTAAAATATCACAACAGAGAGAATGTTTTTTTATTCCTTTGAATAGTCATTTGCACTTAAAATGTCAGAGACAGAGGGAACAAACTGATTCTGCAGTTGCAAAAACTGCTGAGACAGGCTATGAAGAAATGACCTCAGGCTTCCTAATTCCCAGTTTTCTGTCAGCATCTAGAGTAATTTTTGTTCAGTTAAATGTATTGCATTCCATCTTCTTGATCCAACACATGGTTTAAGGTGCATGATTTTTAGAGAGGATTCTATACTCTGGTGGGAAGTTCTTGGAGGAGCTTTTACTGTAGGAGGAACCCTAGGGATTATGACAGCAATATAACAAAGCTGAATCATTTTTCGGCTTTTACTTTAGGAAGAACCCCAGGGATTAAGACAGCAGTCTAACAAAGCTGAATAATTTTTTGGCTTTTCTAACTTTGTCACACCCAGATAGTATCCCACATTTTGGGCGTTGTCAGTCACTCATGCTTGTCCTAGTAAAATAAGGCTAGCAGCTCCTGGGATGTATCAGAACCTATTTTGTTTATCTAGCACTCTTGAGCCTATGTGATCTTTTGCCTCATCACCTTTTCTTTGCTGTTGCTAATAGAGTTCTGGAAATGCAGTCTTCAGACTCAGGTGCAGGATTTTTGTAGGAGACTTAATATTTATGATTCTCTTTGACCTGTTTGACTACTGAATGTGTAAGCAAGGTGCATATTTCATCCATTGCAAGCTCATTACCTACTTGGAGCATTAAAAGATATTTTCCTCATTATTATTTTTTACTATAGTAGCAATATGTGCTCTTCACTTTTCAGGCACATAAAAAAAAGGTTGTTGTGCCAGGGAATCCCTAATCTCAGATACTGCACCTCTTGAGAGATCAGAGTACCAACTTGTAAGATGAGTGTGTTGAGCATCTTGCAGGATAAAGTCTGAATGTTAATGGTAATCCAGCACCTTTGGCCTTAAAACAATGGAAATGATAATAGCCTGTGGGAAGGCAGAGCTATGGGAAATTAAATGTGGGTATTAGTAGGAATTTGAACTTTATTTCTGCATGTGTGTGTGTATGTCTGTACCTATATATATATATATATATGCACACGTGTACAGCATGAGTATAATGTATGATGTTTAATCTAGTCTGGACTAAATGTCCAGGTGGACTTTAAGTATAAGAGAAAATAACTTTTTTGACAAGAAGCCAGTTAGCAGCGTCCTCATCCACTGGAACAAAAATTATTATGAAGAAAGTATTAATTTTGGCATTTTTTATTCTTTCAAGAAAAATCCTTCCCTTTCCTCTGAAATATCTATTAATTGAATAATTGATGCTTTGTAGAAATCAGACATGCTATGCTCATTGTAAATTTGATCAAATTGGTGGGATGTGTGGAAAAAAGTGAAAGAAAAATAATTTTTTTCTAATTTGTTATAGTATTAGTGATCTTTTATAATAATACATTTACCTCTGTGATTTTCTTTTCCACAGGAAATTTATAGAAATGGGGTTTATTGATGAGAAACGAATAGCAATATGGGGCTGGGTAAGTGGTTGGATTTTTGTATCTATCATTAAATAATCCTGCAGTATAATTTTTTTATTTCTTCCTTATTCTGTCCTAAATCTATATAAAAGTTTCTTCTAACAGTGTTTGATGGTATTGCCAAAGGAAATAGTTCCTTTTCGTGCCTATATACATGCAATTGCAACAGTACAAGCCGCCAGAAAGGGATCTTTGGCAGCTCAAGAGGGAATTTTGAAAAGCTTATATCTAATGCATTGTTTGAACTTGAAGTTAAGCAAAATTGAGACATTTTAATTGGCTTTCTTTTTAACTTAGGGACTTACTAGCATGGTGTCAAAATTCAAGTATTGTCCTTTCTGATCTGAGATTAAAATAATTAGAAAATTTCTACGAATATCTCTCATCAGAAAATGTGACCCTTGTATCATTCTGAATCACTGTATATTTGGCTGGTTTTGAAATGGTCAGTAGGGGTGAATGTGGATCTGAGGAGTGTACAACATTGACAGCTTCACCAAGTGGAAAAATTGAGCCGTATAGGAGTAATTTGAAAAAATTAGCCAGTTTATTTTTCATCTTTTATTTTCTCCTGCACTTTGCTTTGTAACACTCACAGAACCATTTATAGCCACAGGTATTGCAAGTCTGTATTATTAAATGGCCAGATTCTACTACCCTTAGGCACTGAGAAATAGGGTAGCATACCTCAAGTACAAATTTTAGGATAGCACTGCATTCTAGTAGGAGAAAAATTAATTATTGGAATAGTTGGGGTTCTTTTTCCTGTGCTGTCAGCTTCAAAGTAGGACAACTAATGGAAATGAGATGCAAACCTATTAGTGGTGTTATGGGAGAGCTAAAGCCAACTTCAATGGCAGCACAAATGCCACACAGCCCCTCTATAGAGACTTTTAAGATGTTTAGGCCATCCGACTCAATTGCTTATGTTCATTGTGAATGGCTGGAGCAGGAACACATAGACACAACTGGAACCCTGCCTCCTACCCAGCTTCAGCAGCTTTAGCATAACAGAATTATACTGTGCAGGAGAACGAGCTGATAAGCAACACCTGAGGGGCTCATGGATTAGGGACAGTACTGAAAGGAATGCTAAAGGGGCAGACTTATGTTAGCCACCCTTATTTCTTCTCTGAGTCAATCAGTATCAGCTCTCCAGCAGTAACAGGCAGCACTAAGTAAAAAAGCTTACAGAATAAACTGGTATGTTAGCTACTCATTAACATTTTGCAATATTTTTATACATGTTCATTTTTCACTGATTATCATTCAGAAAGACCTTTTATTTCATTCGCCTTAACTGCTTGTCTTTGCCAAGAGAGTTCTTCTGATCTGTCACTGTTTGTTTTGTTGGTTGTTTTTTTTTTGCTGGTTTTTGTTTGTTTGTTTTTGTTGGCCCAGTTTCATTGTAAGAGACTTGCCCAGAAACACACTAGAGGATAGATCTTGTAAGATTCAGTCCAGCTGTAACTACAGGAGTTGCCTGATCTTGATAGCACATGAGCAAAGTTGCTGAAGTCTTTCTATGAAGCTTCTACCAACTAATATTTAAATTACTTTGGCCAGACACTGCTATAACATCAGGATAAAATGGGGTACCATATGGTGAAATTATGTGACACAGACACTTACAAGTGAGGAATTCTAAAGTGGCATTAAGTAAGTTAAGGCCACATGATTTTTTATTTTTTTTTATTTGCATCATGTTTTATTTCACCACAGTGTTTCCAGAACCAATAAGAGATTTCACACATCTAAAGCATTGTATCCCAGTAGTGGATATAATATTCAAATAAAGGCACTATTCCAAATCTGTCAGGTTTTTTTCCCATTTTTTTCTATTAATTATACCATTTTCTGGTCCATAACTTTTGAAAGGAGTTGAAAGGTGTTTCCTTATTTAAAGCCTGCAGCTTGTCAGGTATGCATGAACTATGCAGCTCATTGTACTTTAAGACTCACCAAACTCTTCTGGATGGCAGAAGCTCTTAAATAACCACTAAAGCAAGTCAGGTTTTGAACTCTATCTCTCTGCATGTTACAGTGCATAGGTTTATCAGCCTGATACTAATCCTTTACTTTTTAGCCTTGTGAACTGATTTTTTAAAAGATCAAATGAGCCAATCAAATGAGCTGGAAAAATTGTATGAATTATTTTTTCCATTAGCATTTCCCTTACTGTCATTTTAAGCTGGAATGTCAAGAGGAGGGAGAAACTAACTTACTTTTGTACAAAAAAATATTTAATAATTTTGCTTATTTCCCTTAGTCTTTCATAGGCGACTGCTGAGGATGATAATCTTAATAATTCTTCATGACACACCTCATATTTTTATCCCTCCCTCCATTTCAAAGTAAACAGTGACCCATTATTTCCCAAAGACCTTATACAAATATTTTCCAACCCCAGTTCCACATCCTATGGACAGACAAACCGAATACTTTTTATTTACAGTATTTTTGTGTCTCGGCAACTACCCCTGCACAGTTGCACAGATCTGTTCTGATATCCAGGCTTAATTACTATGTTACCTAGCTTCCAGCTGTGAACTTATTCTTCCTTGCTGAGTCTCAGTTTGAGGAATCAGGCCAGAAAATAACAGGAATAGCGGCAGGCAGTAGGGAGGAATTGTTCCAACCTCCAGTTCTCAAGTAGCTGAGCCTATTAATACTGATGATGGGGTAGATTCAATATGCCAATCATTTGCAAAAGCTAAGTAGTTTGTTGAGGGAGGGAAAAACCTGTAACTCTTCTTGGAGGTGCACACTGAAAGGATGAGAGGCAATGAACACAAGTTGTCACAAGGGAAGTTTTGTTTAGGTTTTAGGAAAAAAAAAATTATGACAACCATGGTCAGCATTGATACAGATTGAGTAGAGAGGCTGTGTAATGTGGATGTGACTTCGATCAACCTCATTTAAATCTTGTTAGCCCTTTTTTGGGATAGAGGTTGCACTAGATTACCTTGAAGGACCCCACCAACTCAATTTTTTCTGTGATTCTAAGTGGGAATAAGAGCAGTATCCTGTGATAAGCACTGAAGAAATAGCAAAAAAGAAGTGATTCAATAAAATTGTCTAATCTCTCTCACAAGAAATCACATCAGATCCATCTGCAATAAATACATTTTTTAAAAAAATAAAAAGCTTTTGTTGCTTTGTTCTCCATGGATTCAAAGCAAAATATCAAAATATTTACCTTGGAATTAATTTATATGAATTTGATTCAGAAAACAAAATTATACTTCACCAATAATTTTAAACTGTCTGTGACTTCTCCTTAGTCCTATGGTGGGTACGTAAGTTCTCTGGCACTTGGATCTGGCAGTGGAATATTTAAATGTGGAATGGCTGTGGCTCCTGTTTCCAGCTGGGAATATTACGGTATGGAATCTTGTCATAAATACTGACTTGGAAAGCAAGATGTAGCATTTAATGACTTTTTAAATGAAATCATTGCAGGAAACTGGCAATATGAAACTTAAAGACATTGCAATTACCTAGACATAAAACTCTTAAGACCTTAAGTTTAATGTTTTCCTTGCTGAAAATAACTTACTGCAACTGGCAGTTTGGAATAGACTTTGTCACACAGAAGGTGCACCCAGATAATTCCATATGCATATCTGCAACGGTACGTATGGAATCGCAGTTACCCTTCAACTTCAGATACTGCAGATGAGCTCTGTGAGGAGTCAGTATCTCTGATGATTGCAAAGTTATTTCCCAAAAGCAGTGGAAAAGAGAGGGAGTCAGATGTGTATGATATCATTTTTTTAAAATGAAGTATTTTCCCCTTTAGATGTTTCTCCACCACACCTCCTGTGCTGTTGTGTTATGAGACATTTTTATTTATGTTTATTGACACAAATTCTTCAGGGGAAACAACTCTGGGATTATGCTCCCCGGGCCTTACTGTGTGAATAAAGCAGGCACATGCTCATACTTACTTGCAGACCTGTTAAGCTTTTGGCATGGTGTAAAGGAACCTTAGTGTAAAAAAGAATCATGGCATGCATGATTCCAATGAGCAAAATGTAGCACTTTGAACACATTTACTTAGCATATGGTCGTTTGCTAAGAAGTCTTGGTTATGATAAAATTTTTTGGTTAAATGGGAAAGATTCCTTCCCTGACTGCTAGCACAGACATTCCTTGTATTTATGGTGTTTTGCAAACAAAGGGGAAAACATTTGTATGACACAGGAAGCATAGTCTTCATGTTTTCACTGGCATCAAGTTTTTTTTAAGACATTTTTATTCACAATCGCAAAATTATTTCCAGAATGCAGGCATAAAGCCCTAGTTTTGCAGAAGTCCTTCAATAAAAAGAGTTACAAACATTTGTCCAAGCATTAAAAATTGAATGAAGTTTTAAGTTAAAGTAGATTAGATCTGCACCTTTGCAGTCTCTACTTTAGCTGAATTTTGAGAAGGGAATTAAAGAATCTTGCTAAAAATACACTGTAAAATCCAAACAGACAAATGTACCTACGCTAAGGAAGGAAGGAAGGAAACAGAAGGAAGTCATGAGTCATAAGTTTTGGCAAACAGATCATGTTAACATGAGGGTGAACTGTGTTAGGGGCAAAACTACAGGATGCTATACATTTGATTCTCTAAGTAGTATCAGTATATCAGATGATATACTGGCCTCTAGAGCTTCTAAATTCCGTCCCACCCTCTTTTAGGTGCACAGATTAGAGTCTGGACCATAATATTTTCTCTGAAATCCTCCCACTCATCTCCATTTTGTGTCAGAGTTAATAACAGCTGAACAGTTATAAGATGGCAAGGGAAATGGCATGCAGGGAAAATGTATAGTTAAAAGCATTAGGTATGTGACTGTTTTATTAAAATTCACAATTTCTCTCCTTTTTCTTCCTCAGTAATTGACAAGCTGAATCTTCCACTTAGTCATTATAATGCAATTCTGCTGACCTCTGTGGACTTGTTGTATCTATACTGGTAGAAGAGAGTGGAGAATTTGGCTCAGAATACTGTAGAAATGCCAGCCATTCAGAGTCTATTTTATTGAAAATTTACGCCTAATATGGTTGCTTGACACTGTGTTGACAACAGATATTGCACATTTTCTGTTTTCATTGAACGATAAAGGATTTTGATAGAAGATAGGCTTCTTAGATTTATTTTTTTTTAGTACTTAGTTTATTACAGATCTTCAGGAGCCTTACTTGGCTGATCTGGGAGACATAGTACACGTCTTTAGCACTCAGTGGTAACATGTGTAAAGGATACATAATAAACCATGAGAACATTAGTATATTGAGTCATTTTCATTTCCTGGGAGGATTCTCATTTCTACTTTTTAACAAAATTATTCTAATGTAGTGTACCAAACTGGACAACAAGCTAGACAATCCCAATTCCTTATTGATTACAATGGCTGTCACATCTCTTATGGGAGGGATAGGTGCCAGCTCTTCTTTATCAGAAAGCTCTGACTCCATTAAATATATAAAATTCTTGTAATGCTGCAGCTTGACTGCTCAATATGGATCAGTTACCCTTTCAAGGCAAGGTCATAAAGAAAGTAATGTTCTGGTAGTGGCAGCTGCTGCATCAGTTTTCCACAAATTTTCATAACAGCTCTTAGTTAAATTATGAATACCCAGGCAGCTCAAAGATATCTGTTCGAACTGATTTTTTGGTGATATACTGTTCAGTTATTCACATTTGTTCACAATCTGTTAACAGTCTTTGTTGTATTTAGAAAAAGGAATTGAACAGAGACCTGAACAGCAATTGCACCACTTCTTCAGTGCAAGCCTGTATCTTTTCCTGCTCCCCCTAGTTGTTGCATATATCCATTCAATAGGAAAAGGACAACATATATATCCATATTTATCATATATACACATCCCAGGTTGGAATTCTGCTCAGGTTCTCTTTTTAAGGTGTCAAAAATAATCTGTATCATCTTTCCACCATGCATCTTTATTGGCTCATTGGCTCATTCAACTGATTTCTGGAGTTCAACCCAATACGGTAAAGCATTATCAGTTAATTAACTTCAGCATAACTGAATATGCTACATGTCACTGGAGGCACAAAAATATCTGTACATTCTCTATCTATAACTTTTTTCTTATTTAATATTGCAGCATCTATCTACACAGAACGATTTATGGGTCTTCCTGTAGAGTCTGATAATCTTGAGCACTACAAGGTGAGAATTCTCTTTCTGTGTTGATCTACCTTAAACTTGAATCACTCTTCCATGGACAAGTGGAACTGTGAAGAAAGAAAATGACCTGCCAGCTCTCATAGTGGCAGTCCTGTAGCCGCTAAGCTACTGCTGTGAAATTCATATCTCCATAGTTACTTATGGTTTTGTATTTATCAATCCTAAATATGCTAAATTGAAGGATCCTTATTTTCTCACTTAGATAAGTCAGATAGTTCTGCTAGTGCAAACCATTAGCCTAGGAAAGAACTCGTGTGAGAGAGGTTAAAATGTTGATGTTTATAGGGTTTTGGTTGGTACTGTTAGCTGTGGTATGTAAACTGCTTTGTGCAAATTTAGGTCTCTGATAATAACATCATAAGCATACTAAGCAGTCAGAACAGCTTCACCTACCTGGAACACATTGCCTTTCTTCTTTTCTTCTCATTGTTAGGAAGTCTATAGTTTCCTCTAGCAGCACACATACCAGCTCTGGATACAGAGAGGCTTGAATTAATGTCCAAAGTCAATGGAAAGATTCCTATATTCTCAGTACCTATTCTCCATCCCAATTCAAAGAACAGAAATTCTCAATACCAAACTGGCCTGGTAGACCTGTCTGGGTAGCCAGGATTATAGTGTTCAGGGAATGACACATGGCAACTGCTGTGCTTTTCATGAACTGGCCTTAGAAAGGGCACTAAATATATACAGCTTCTATTATAATCTCAGATTGATATTAAGTTATTGCTCTCATTATTTTGCCAGTCCAACTGTTTGATTGTTGTTCTACTAGGTAATGAAAGCCTTTCAGCTCTATGACTGAGTGTTTTAAATTGAAGCTGCTGAACTGTTCATTTTTCCTCTCAACAGAATTCAACAGTGATGGCAAGAGCAAAGAATTTCCAAAACGTAGAGTATCTTCTCATCCATGGAACAGCAGATGGTGAGGTTTGCAAATGGCAGTACAAATACAGAGCCAGAATCACTTTGTTTGAAAAACATTAAGCATCTTTCTATGCCTTTGATTAGGGTCAGTACTTAGATCTTTGGTAGACTTCCATATGACATATTATAAGATACTTACTTATTCTTAGTAATGTCAACTGTATTACTTGATAATTAGTGGACACAACTTAATGCACTATAACTTTATGCTTTGTAGTATTTACACATTTCAACAGCCAATCTCTTTTTTTCTTTTTCAGATAATGTACATTTTCAGAACTCAGCACAAATTGCAAAAGCTCTGGTTAATGCACAGGTGGATTTCCAAGCGATGGTAAACAGCAGACTATTTCTCATTTTGAAAAGTGGTTTATAGCTTTATCAATAAGCTTATCTGACATTTGGCAATGTTTTTAAGAACCCAGTTCAACTGAACGTGCTTCAAAATCTGGCAATTGCTAGTGCATTTGTTACTCTTCATAAACAATTTCTTCCCCAAAGGATTTGCCCGCTCTGCTCTTTTTTTTTTTTTTTTTTTTCCCTTCTTGCCCTTTGGATGCTAGCAGGATTTCTCTCTTGTCAAGAAAAACTTAGAGGCTTTCAAAATGAGTCAGGGCAAAGAACAAGAATCCAGCCTCCTTATGAAAATTGATGATAGCTAGTAAAAGAGAGGAAGATTAAGGAGCTGGCTTCTTGGGCCAAAACCAGAACCACTGGTTCTGATGGATTCCATCTTGAACTGGAGATGCCTGAGATGCCTGCCACAGGCATGAGGTAAAACAAGCAAAAAGGGTATAAGATATCCAAGTAGCATACCCAGGATCAGAAAAAAGACAAGTCCTCTGGAAAACTTCCTTGGGGTAGTAGGTGCAGGCAAAGAGCGATACACATAGGCAAGAGGTTAGAGGATATAAATGAGGAATGAACAGGGGAAAAGTAGTTCTGAATTACATCCTAATCTCTGCTTCTGCACCTTTTTTCTTGGGGATAATGACCAAAGTGTTTGCCTGCTATCAAATATACTGGCCTGCCTGAGTCCACTTTCCCAGGGCCATGAACTCCCCAAAAAGGGATCACACAGGCATCCCCCTGTACTTGGGGTTTGTAGGCCCTTCTGTGTGTTCCAAATTTTCTGCCTCCTTCACTGATATTTAGCAAACCCGGGTTATTTCTCAAGTATCTGGAATACTGTATGCAGTTGTAGTCATTCTAGTTCAGCTACAGGGGAATGACAGTTATTTCTAAGAGTTAGTATAATTCATACATTTATTTTATTTGCAGCACACTGTTCATAATGTTCTTGGCCCTGCTGTAATGAAGGATGTTTTGAATAGAATTCTACAACATTTAGCTGAAAGCTTGTCGCTTAAAGCCCAGTATTCCTAAGACTGTCAACCCTATTGCCAAGGCCATGCAGCAAGTCAAGGGCATTTCATCCCTAAGGGCATCTCAAAGCTCTTTGCCTGACTTGATACAAATGACTTGCCAGTACTGGAGCAGTAATGCTCACTTGTAGATTACAGAAGGTTTAGAAATTCTTTTTCAGGAAGAATATGAATACTGGATTTCCAGAATACTGGAAACTGATTAAAATAAAATAGATTAGCAAGGCCCTCTGTTTGCTTGAGGCTTTCTTCTATATAGTAATAAAATAAAGTTCTTGTATTAACTAGAATAATTGCAGAATTGAAAACATAACGTAACATAGGGCTTTTATGCCTTTTTTTTTTTCTTTTTCAGTGGTATACTGACCAGAACCATGGAATTCCAGGCCTTTCCAGCAAGCATCTCTACACACATATGACCCACTTCCTCAAACAATGTTTTTCTTTGTCAGAATAAGTAGGCTGTTCAGAGCATGCTACATCTGATACATCTCTGGGAAAATGAAATGATAACAGTGCCCAGGTTATATAGTTTTCAGGTGAATTGATAACAGGAACTTTGAAGTTTTAAACTTGATGTTTACATCCACTTTTGGTATTGTATATTACGAAATGTTATGCTAATACATGTTTTAGCACATTTAACACCTGTTTGATAGGAAAAATAAAATCAGAATGTAAAATGACATGTGCATTTATTGCCATCTTGCTTAAACTTACATTCTGCAATCCAAAGAGAGGTGGTCCATTGCAAAGGCACAACGCCAGATGAATATGCTTGCATTTGTTAACTACAACTCTAAAATGGGAAAGGACAAAGACAGCAGTGCAAGTACCTAATTAGCATCCTAACAAAAGACAGTTCCTCAAAATTTCTTTCCAATTTCTTGGAAACAATCCAAGCAGGCATAGGAACACACAATATTTAAAGCTGAAGGTTGGATAATTATCCAGAATATTAAATGCTGTTTTCAAATTTTATTCAACTCTTATTTGAAACCTTGATTCTGCAAAACTCTCAGTGTTCAGATTTAAATATGAAAGCAGGACATTAATGATAGCTATTTTATCTCAGTTGTTTTTTTCTCTGTATTCAGAATATGTGAGCCATATTAGCCTGTTTTTAATCTCTAATAATCACCTCAGCATTCAAATTAATCTCAGTGTCATTCATCCCAGACTGGAGGAAAAGGATCAAAGGATTATGCAGGCTGTCTTTGCTTTGTTTCCAGTGAAACTAGTTTAGTCTTTTAAAAATGCTAGGGGCTAATAATGATTGGAATACTTGTATTCTTTTGATTAGTAATTAAATCAGTCCTGTCATAATATAAGAATATGAACAAGATAATTGGAAAGAGATCCATTGTAGATGAAATTATTCTCTGGTCATGTGTTTTAAAAATTCTGAGTTAGCCTACTGCATAAGAACCATGGTCTGTCTAATACAGTATCACATCTCTGCTATTAGCCAGAAGAGAACAAAAAAACCTAAAAAAGATTGTGGAATAGCCTTCCCCATAGTGCTTCCTAACTCTCAGTCAGAGATCAGTTGCTGCTTCTTTGTGGAAAAGCAAGGGGTTTCATTCCACTGTCTTGACAAAAACATGGGATTTAGCCAAAATCATTAAAATGTAGAAGTGATTTGCTATGGAACAGCTTCCTTCGTTTTGTTAATGGCAATATCAAATCTGATTTTCCACACATGAGAACATTCCTCAGACACATTTTTATGCAAATGTAGTTGCCAAGCTGTTTGTAATGGTTAAATTATACTTTGATGGGAAGTCTTCAGAAAATACTCAATTAGTTCAGGTTTTTTTTGGAAACGCTGCCAATTATGTGACGTTAATGAGCTTTTTGTTGGTAATGTAATTAAAATTCAACTGCTATAATGGTTAAAGGAAAAAATTATAGCTCTAAGAAAGTTAACATTAAGCAAATATAACATGAAGTGGGGCTAATTAGATTTTGATTGCATAGTCCTATGTGCATTTGCTGCACACAAAAGTAGTCTCAGTAATGTGGTTATTTTACAAATAAGGTCTAAATTCAGTTGGAATTACTGAGATTTAACTCTCAATTTCTTATATTAATACAACACCATAGAAACTATTGCAAAATTGTGGTGAGGGGGAGAAAAATCAAATTCTTATCTCAGATGCTTAAAGGTTTTAGATACCTGAATATGTCAATGGGAGCCTAGAGCAATTTTCAAAAAAGCATGGTATCAGTCTCACATAAATACCAATATAATAATTTCTCTTTAAACTTTTCCATGTTTATTTTTATTTATACTTTTGAAAATCCTATAAGCTATGGAAATTTGGCCAGATAAACTGGCCCTTTGTGGTACTGTAAGTAACTAAGTGATGCAATGTGTTGTTCACACCCTGCCCACAGGTCTATAGTCAGAAGCTTCTGGAAGTATTTGGAGTAAGGGACATTTCAGGAAAATGTGTCAAATAAATTAACAGAAGGTACCCCTTTCCAAAGGGATGCATTAGCATTCTATGGTTACATGATTAATCTGCCCTTATGTCTGTTTGTTTCCTAAGGCAGTCAGAGTACACATCTTCCAAACCGTTCACCATTTACCTTGGCTTGTAGGAAGCAGTTATGGGGATAAAACATGAAAAAATAAGTGCATCATGCTGCTGTCAGGTTTGCTTCACTGTTTTTCATGTTGTTAATTTATTTGCCTCACACAGTGTTCTTGACAAAGAATGGACATATGTCTTCAGCAGAGTGTGACATTTACACTGAGTTGCTGGAATAATGTCTAACCTAAAAGCTTTATGGCTGAGCAACTATGTTTTTTGATGACCTGGAGGAAAATATCCTATGATGCTGTGAGTGTCAAAAAACCTTTTAAAAAATACACATTGTCAAATTGCTGGCCTATGCTAATTACAGGTGATGTTGCCATTATTCAGTAGAAATGGTGCAGAGTACTTCAAACCTACCATTGCAGTATCACAGAATCACAGAATGGTTGGGGTTGGAAGGGAACTTTGGAGGTCATCTTGTCCCATCTCCCTGTTCAAGCAGGGCTTCCTACAGCTTGTAGCCCAGGAGTATGTCCAGGTGGCTTTTGAATATCTAAAAGGATGGAGATGCCCCAACCTCTCCAGGCCACCTCTGCCAGTACTCGGTCACCCGCATAGTAAAAAATTATTTCCTTATGTTTAGGTAGAACCTTCTGTGTTTCAATTTGCGTGTGTTTCCTCTTTTTCTGTCACTAGGCACCACCAAAAAGAGCCTGGCTCCATCTTCTTTACACCCTCAGACATTCATATACAGTGATAAGATCCTCCCAAGCCTTATCTTCTCTAGAAAGAGAACCTTTTCCATTCTGCATTGCTGTCTACAATCACAATCTACATTATAAGCATCACCACAAACATTCACTGGACAGTTATTTTCCCTTTTCTTTTTTAATCTAGCCTACAGTATAGCCTCTTCTGTAACAGACCTTCAACACAGTTCAAGGTGAAAGGTCTTGTCTGAGGAATCAAGTGGAAGCTAACAAAAATATGTTTCAGAGTTAGCCTTATATATGAATAAAAAGTATATATATCAATCCTGCAGCCACAGAATATGGCATGTAAGAGCCAACACTGGGGCACAACTTATTATGAAACTAAGAAATTATAGCTTTTATGACAAGATTTTCTAAGTGGATGAGTGAATATCCTGAAAAGTTTTGCTTCCCACCTTCGAAAGTTTTAGAGGATCCAGTTTTCAGAAAATGCTGACACTTTCTGCTCTTCTTTTCCCTTTTAAATAAGAAGCTCACACTCCAGATACCCAAAAATACCATTTCAGACAATGAAACTTAGTCTTCAAATATCCGTTATATAAACAAGGTATAAAAGCCTCTGAAGATGGGACATAGTTGTTCTGAATTAAGTAGACAGGCCCTCGATAAATAGGCACAGATACAGTTGTTCAAAAGTCAGTTGCCAATATGAATCCTGTTTAGCTTTTAGAAAATAAAGCTAGAGCTGCAAAGCAAAACCTGCTTTATTCTAGCAGCTGAAATGTACATAAATAGTAGCAAAACCACTAGTTCCACTCCAAACCATTCATTCCCCAACACCTATTTTCATCATCTACCTAATTCATGCTGTGTGAATTGTACATACCAATGAACATGCAGTCCTCACACCTCCAACATGGAACTACATCCCTTCCCTCACTTTGGATAACTACAGCTGAAAAGAAGAAAAGGCCTGAAGAGAAAACAGCACTAGCAGAAAGCTAAGTGTAACCCCAGCCAGGCTCCAGAATATGGTTAGTGTCTTAATCATTTTACTCAGATATCAAGTCAAATTCAGACTACATTCAATACTTTCCAGTTTGCCAGTCAGTTCCAATTACAAGGCACAGCTGTTTAGTACATTTTATAGAGTCATTTGAAGGCTCTGTATTTAATTTGAATAATTCATAGTATTTGCTAAGAGCATTTGGTATTACTTTCAATTATGAACATTGTCTTCTCAGAATGTAAAGTAACTAGTACGTACTCGGCCAGCTCTTCTGCTTGCGCAAATTGATGCAGCTCCATTGACTTCAAATGGAGCAATTCCAATTTATGTGAGTAGACAGTGTGGGCTAGAGCATAGTTACAATAGCTCTCTTTCCTGAGGTGCAAACCCGTCAGCATCCACAGCAGTGGGCATGGAGTTGCATGGTGTGGAAAGGCTTAGAGACCTTAAATTAATCCTTTGTTTCAGAAAGCCATTCTTGCTCTCCAAAGTAGTCATGGACTTGTATACATACATATGCACACGTTTGTGTGCGTTGTGCATATGTACACGTGTATGTATGTAACATGATGCATATGTTTGTATGTGTCTACACATATGTTCTTCCTATATATGTTGCACTGATGCCCAGAAGGGGAATACAGGACTCTTCTGGCTGATTATCATGTAGCAAGGATGAGAAAATAAAAGGAGCTGCACTGCGCAGCCTCCGAACTCATGGTTGACAATGTTAGGGAGAGAAGAATGCTTTCTGTGCAGTGTAACAAAGAAAAGGGTGCAGGCCTGTAGTCATATCCCAAAATACATCCTCCTCTCTTCCATGTTCTTTAGATATGTAATGGATAATAATAACAAAAAATAGGTAATGAAGAAATACACAGAAAAATGTGAGGTTTCACTTTTTTGAAAGCATTTGTTGGGTTTTTTTTTACTTTTGAAAGTCAGCAACTTCCTAATTCATTAAAATGTTCAAATCTTGAAGATTTACAATTTTTTTTTAATTGTACCAACAGTTAAAGAGTTGAGAGAAACATCCTAGAAAATTATGATATTCAGAGAGTGCTAGCCAATTATAATAAATATATTGGCCCTAGTTTTCTGAAAAACCATGCCAACTGGAATTGTCACTGGTAGAGCATCAGGTTCAGTGTGCAGCTGGTAAGAATTCTGCTTCTCATTTTACCTCTTCTGTACTCTTCCCCACAGATTTTTTGTCCAGTGAGTGCAGGACACTGTCCTTAATAACAGGCATTACCTGGTGCTGAGATGATGGTGCAGGAAAATTTCATCAACTCCAGATACAGTGAACCCAAGATAAAAGATTTTTTTAATTACTCCAAGTGAATAATGAAAAACATTAAGATGAAACTTTCCTGAACACAGGTCACTTTCAGGTTCTGTCTCTTAGTCTGACTCAGCTGAAGTACTGTCTCATATGTGAACTATAATATAGGGGAGAGTGAGGTTGCCCTTGACTTTTGGCAAAAGGTGCTATCTAACTATTGTATTTTACAATGTGAGAGGAAAAAACCTGAGTACATCTGCATGTTTCATACACTCATTACAATTTTTCTAGTTCTGTTTGGTAACTCTTATTTGCTGTGTTCTTGAAATATGTATTACTATAGACTAAGTTATGGAAACTGAAGCTTGCATGGTTCTTGATGACAGTTCACTCCTTTCCTGTACTTTTTATTGTCTGTGTATCACTTGAAAAACAAATAATCAGTCACCTTCTAGATGCTAGATAACCTGCTAGAGAATATAGCCTGTGTATCAACCTGCCCAACCAGGTGCACTGAGCTGCTCTGTCTCATATATTTTTTTCTGAAATCATCCTACTGTAAACAAGGAACTTTATCTGACACAAGAAAATAAACAGAGCTAAACAAAAAGAAAAGAACTGCCTAATTCCTGGAGGAGATTATATTGTCTTACATTCTGTATTGCCTGCTTAGAAAGCTATGTATCTTCAACTGAACACGCAGTGAGGTAATTCTTAGCAATCCATTTCAAGTGTGT